CAGCCGGGTATGAGTGGGGGTAGTTTGGGGTTGAGATATAGCCATGGTCATTGGTGTAGGTACCACCACATTTTACTATAATAATGTAAAGTTAATTAGTTATTACAATACTTATAATGCATTTATTATTGTTATACTTGTGAAAAATAAATTCCTGAATTTATAAATTTAATATAAACATTAATAATTTAATTATTAATTGCATTATATTAAAATATTTTCAACTCACCTTCGTCAGCACTAACTGAATGTATTAATAATATTAACGTTATATAAATCACAATAGGATCGGAAACACTTTTGACAATTTTAAGCATTTTAATTAAGAAAATCGTAAATATTTTTTTATTGATATAAACTAGTATACTATGTAGTAAACCGTAAGACATTTAAACAACAAATTCCTGGTGAGACAACCTTGAACAGTTGGACCCTTTATGTGAAATATATTTGTGAGGTTTGGATAAAAAGGCTTCAGTTTTCTCACTCGCATCTCAAAGACTGTAAACTTTTCATTACATAAATAAATGATTCATTTGTTCACAATTCATATAAACATTGATAAGTTGCAGTTTAAGAAACTTTTTTTATTCAGTTTATAAATAAATTATGTCAGTTACATGATTATAGAGTAATTTAAAGTTGTGTAAACAACTCAGCTAATATAAACGTATGATTCGTAGAAATATTAAGAATTTATGTGCTAGTTGCTTTTATTGTTTAGTATTTGGGTTTAAAATTTATGTTACAGGTAATTATTTATTTATTTATTTTTGTAAATGATTTTCAAGTGAGTCTACGGAGAGAGAGAGAGAGAGAGAGAGAGAGAGAGAGAGAGAGAGAGAGAGATTATAAACAAATGATAACTTAGTTTTCAGAATAGTCTGTAAAATAAACATTTTGTGTGTATTTATAATACAAACGGAAATTGGCTATACTTACCACATAAGTACTAAAAACCTTTGTCTAAACAATAAAAAAAATTACCCATACATTATACAATAATTTTTAAAATTTTAATTATTTAAAAGTACAAAAATCATATATTAATACAAATTTAAATAGATGCAAAATTACACATAATCTATTCGCATTCATTATCATTGCCTTTACCATGATCATGCACATAATAAATGTATCCCTCGTTATTATTTTCATAATTACCAGGTATACGTTTTATAAAAATATAGTAGTATGTAATAAGCAAGGAGATTATGGCAAGTAATATGACTACAATTACGGCTAACATGGACACCGCTACGATAAGTCCAGTTTTATTTGAATTGTCCTTGTTTCCATTTTTGTTTTCATATCCAGGTCGTTCAATAAACTCCCAGTTAAACTCCTTGTAATCACCATGATCCTTGGGAATATCGCAACTTATATACCTATTGTCATTGACTTCAGCGTTTGGACTTTCACCATTATCTATACAAAATACAGTATTATTATTAACAATAATAACTAGTTTATAGAAAATACAGTTTTCATTAACTTATAAATGTTTATTTTAAAAATGTGAGAGTAGCTAAAGTTTATTTTGTAAATATTTAATATAAGAACGAACTAGCTAATTGTTATATATTTTAAAATTTTTATTTAATAAGTTTAAATACTTACGACAGGCTCTATTAAAAATGTACAAATAGTTGCCATTAAATGACCAGGAAAACTTGACACTATGCGACTGAAAGTGGTGGTTCATTTTATACCAGTCCTTGTCCAATTTAGTAATCATATGGAATATTCTATTGTCAGTTGTATTGAATGGCACCGGTATTGTCAGATTAGTGCCATACCACATTAAAAAATGATTTGTTTTTACATTTCTGATCGCGTAATACGTGTTTGTATTAATGGGTAAGTTTTCACCTGTATTTTTATCAACAACAGGTTCCCTGATTACTTGTGCCAGGGTTAGTTTAATTATAAGCACACAAAACAATAATATTACTAAATTCATTTTGAATTATTTATAGTTTTCATAAAGCACAAAATAAAAATAAAATTTTATGAAAGTAGTATTTCAAAAATATTATAATGTAAAAATAATTTTATGATTTCATGGCATAATCTAAATATTTTATTATCTGTTGATTTTAAGTCAAAATATATTTTTTATTATTATCCTTGACTTATGTCAGTGAGAAAATAAATTAATATTGCATGATATGTGTTTATAATTTATATTAATATAAACATTAATTTCATAGAAATTGCATTTTAACTACAAACAAAAATAATAATTCATTTCATAGATATTGTTAAATCTTATGATATAATTATAATTAAAAATTTAATTTTAATTTAAAATTTACTAATGTTACTTATTCGTTATTTGTAAAAGTTCAATCAAAATACTTATAGTAATATACAATAAATATAATATTTAACGTAATCAATATAATGATAATTAAGGACAAAACTAAAACTGCAATTAATAGTCCAGTATTAATTGAATGGTGATTATCTGTGTATTTATATCTAGGTCTAGCTATAAACTTCCAGGTATACTCCATGTAATCGCCATCAACTTTGGGAGCTTCACAACTTATACTTATACGGCACTAAAACATAATTAAAATATGTAATTTATTTTAAAATTATTTTATCATAATTAATCTTACAGTTATCCGTATATATTTGTTCATAATCCTGGTCTTTATTATCACTTGGTATTTCATAAATTTCATAGTCATTTGAAGTATTTGCCGATTGTTTGCCTTGAATGCAATACCATAATATAAATACCACTAATGCTATCAATAATATGACCACTACTGCCGTAAATGGTATTATTAATGTAAGATTTTGACTTATTGTTCCTTGATCATAATTATCTGTGGCAGTTGAGTCGCTAAGACGTGAAAGGTTCTTCTTAATTTTAATAAAATTTATACCAATTAAATGTTAATAATGAGAATATTTTTGTAAATTATCAACTTATAACAAACTAGAAGTAATTATTTATAATAATATTATAACTTTTAATTAAAATTAAAATTTAATTAAGTTTAATTAAAGAATTACAAAAAACATTTAGATTTAGTAAGTTTAGATAATTGAAGAAAAAATCTTTTATTTTTAAATTTTTATAACTTTTAATAATTTATAATTATAAAATAATTAATTATTAATTAAAAACAATTTAAATTAAATGTTATTTTGCTTGCTTTTTATTGTAAAATAAAAAATCAGTATAATATTAAACCCAATACTGCATGGATTACAGTCTGAAATACAATATAGAAGAACCTCGGTGTCTCAGTTGTAGGTTGTGATACATTAGTAGTAATAGTAGTGATGGTTGTGGTCGTTGTAGTCGTGCTTATTTGTCCAGGTTTTTCAGTGAACTCCCACTTATATTCCTGATAATCCCTGTCCATCTCGGAAGTAACACAACTAATAAATCCGTATTCATTGATCTCTCCGTTAGGATTATCGCCATCGTCTAGTAATTAACATATTATATCAAATAAAATTTAAATATTAAACACGATATAAAATTATTATTATAAAGTTTACCTACTATATATCTAATTAAAATATTTATAAACAATTTTAGCTAATGAACGTGTTTATTTACTTACAGCATAGTTGGTTATAAATAAAGTAGTAGCCCTCATTATGGACCTGGGCAATCTTAACGTTATGACTACCGAAATAGTGATTCATACGATACCAGCCATTATTTAGGTTATTAAACATGTGATATGTTTTGGCCTTTTCGGACACCAAATCCCCGGGTAGTGTAGAGTTGGGTCCAAACCATAGCAAAAATCGGTGAGACTTTGTGTTTTGGATAATATAGTAGATGTTTGTTTTAAGTGCCAGGTTTGCACCGGTATTTTTATCAACAACAGGTTCACTGATTACTTGTGCCAGGGATAGTCTAATTATAAGCACACAAAACAATAATATTACTAAATTCATTTTGAATTATTTATAGTTTTCATAAAGCTCAAAATAAAAATAAAATTTTACGAAAGTAGTACTTTAATAATATTATAATGTAAAAATAATTTTATGATTTCATGGCATAATCTAAATATTTTATTATCTGTTGATTTTAAGTCGAAATATATTTTTTATTATTATCCTTGACTTATGTCAGTGAGAAAATAAATTAATATTGCTTAATTTATGTTCATAACTTTTATTAATATAAACACTAATTTCATAGGAACTGCATTTTATGTATAAACAAAAAATATTATTTCATTTCATAGATATTGTTAAATCGTATGATATAATTATAATTAATAATTTAATTTTAATTTAAAATTTACTTATGTTACTTATTCGTTATTTGTAAAAGTTCAATCAAAATACTTATAGTAATATACAATAAATATAATGTTTAACGTAATCAATATAATGATAACTAAGGACAAAACTAAAACTGCAATTAATAGTCCAGTATTAATTGAATGGTGATTATCTGTGTATTTATATCGAGGTCTAGCTATAAACTCCCAGTTATACTCCATGTAATCGCCATCAACTTTGGGAACTTCACAACTTATAAACCCTTTATCATTGACTTCACCAATTGGACTATCACCATTATCTGGATAATTTTATTTATAGTTTTCATAAAGCACAAAATAAAAATAAAATTTTATGAAAGTAGTATTTCAAAAATATTATAATGTAAAAATAATTTTATGATTTCATGGCATAATCTAAATATTTTATTATCTGTTGATTTTTAAGTCGAAATATATTTTTCATTATCCTTGACTTATGTCAGTGAGAAAATAAATTAATATTGCATGATATGTGTTTATAATTTATATTAATATAAACATTAATTTCATAGGAATTGCATTTTATGTATAAACAAAAATAATAATTCATTTCATAGATATTGTTAAATCTTATGATATAATTATAATTAAAAATTTAATTTTAATTTAAAATTTACTTATGTTACTTATTCGTTATTTGTAAAAGTTCAATCAAAATACTTATAGTAATATACAATAAATATTATGTTTAACGTAATCAATATAATGATAATTAAGGACAAAACTAAAACTGCAATTAATAGTCCAGTATTAATTGAATGATGATTATCTGTGTATTTATATCCTCCAGATCGATATTTGAGGGTCAATATGAGGTACATTAGCGGTAGTTGAAACCCTTGAAGTGTTGAATATTTGGGAAATAGTAACTGAAGTGGTTAACCTGATAGTGGTAATAGACCTATTAAAATATTGAACAAAAATTAAAAATATTTTTAAAAGTCTTAATTGATAATAAACACAGATTTATCAAATTCATATGAATTCACATTTGACAGATATACTGTATTTTATACTCACAACACGCTTTATCAAATAAATTCAAATATTGTCCATCAAATGATCTAGCAAACTTGACAGTGTGCGACCGAAAGTGGTGGGTCAGTTTATACCATCCATTATCCGGTTTAGTGATCATATGAAATATACGGATATCATTTGAGTTGAACGGCACCGGTAGTGTGTTGTTCACACCGTACCAGGTCATAAATTTATGAGTGTTTACATTTCTAATGGCATAATACGTGCCAGTTGTTTAGTGATCATATGAAATATACGGATATCATTTGAGTTGAACGGCACCGGTAGTGTGTTGTTCACACCGTACCAGGTCATAAATTTATGAGTGTTTACATTTCTAATGGCATAATACGTGCCAGTAGTAATTGATAATTTGTCACCTGTATTTTTGTCAATAACCGGTTCACGAATTGCGTGCACCAGGATTAGTTTAATTATAAATATATAAATAATTATTGCACTCATTGTGAACTTAAAAATTAAAGTGAATTTTCAGACTAAAATTTATTACATGCGTACAGTGTACATAAAAAACTGTACTAAATAATCTAAATATTTATTATCTGTTAAAAAATATTTACTATCATTGACTCATGTCCTTATATAACTTATTTATACATTTCTAATTTATGTTCATAAAAAATGTGGATTTTAAAAAAGTTTATAATTATTATCTTTTTAAAAATCGTTAAATTATTAAAAATATGTTAAATAATTTTTGAATACTTTTCCATATTTTATAAAATAATCTTTGAAATTATCAAAACATTTTGTATTTGTAAAAATAAATTAAAGTAACTATCCACACATTTTGGATATTAGACTCATAGGAATTTAAGATATAAATTAATTATAGTCTATTTGTCTATTTGTACTAATACATTTTCATAATATTATACGTGCATTGTCGTTTTAGTCATAAATATCTAAATATCTTGGTTGTACTGTTGATGAGTACCTTGCTACTGGTGGTTGAGGCACTAAAACATTATTCAAATATGTAATTTATTTTAAAATTATTTTATCATAATTAATCTTACAGTTATCCGTATATATTTGTTCATAATCCTGGTCTTTATTATCACTTGGTATTTCATAAATTTCATAGTCATTTGAAGTATTTGCCGATTGTTTGCCTTGAATGCAATACCATAATATAAATGCCACTAATGCTATCAATAATAAGACCACTGGTATTATCGCAAATGGTATTATTAATATAAGATTTTGACTTATTGTTCCTTGATCATCATTATCTGTGACCGTTGTAGGTTGTGGTGCAGTAGTAGTAGTGGTGATGGTTGTGGTCGTTGTAGTCGTGCTTATTTGTCCAGGTCTTTCAGTGAACTCCCACTTATATTCCTGATAATCCCTGTCCATCTCGGAAGTAACACAACTAATAAATCCGTATTCATTGATCTCTCCGTTAGGATAATCGCCATCGTCTAGTAATTAACATATTACATAATTACATAATCAAATAAAATTTTCTATTTAAATATAAATATTTACATATTAAACACAATATAAAATTATTATTATAAAGTTTACATACTGTATTGTATATCTAATTAACATATTTATAATAATTTTAGTTAATAAAGATGTTTATTTACTTACAGCATAGTTGGTTATAAATGAAGTAGTAGCCCTCATTATGGACCTGGGCAATCTTTACGTTATGACTACCGAAATAGTGATTCATACGATACCAGCCATTTTTTAGGTTATTAAACATGTGATATGTTTTGGCCTTTTCGGACACCAAATCCCCGGGTAGTGTAGAGTTGGGTCCAAACCATAGCAAAAATCGGTGAGACTTTGTGTTTTGGATAATATAGTAGATGTTTGTCTTAAGTGCTAAGTTTTCACCGGTATTTTTGTCTATAATGAACTCATAGTTTGTTAAATTAATACCTATTAAATTTGTAATTATTATAAAAATAATCAAGGATAATATTTGTATATTGAGAATTGATTTTTCAAAAATGTTTAATTGCACATTATTCATTATAATTACATAAAAACATTACAGTTATTGTAACATTTAGCATTTAGTGCACTAACTATTCGAGTATATATATATATGTTTTATACATTAATATATATATTATCTAGTTATTAAAAATTAGTTGAAAATAAAATTTTCCGTAAAACTTTTCCAAGTTATTACATAAAACGGAAAGACGCTGTTTCCCATTCACTACTTCATATCCTTATGAGTAAAACATGTGAGAAAAATGTTACACACAAAAGTGTTATACTTTATATTATTTTATACAGTAAATGGATTAGGTTTAAGATATAAAGTAAATTATTTGTTAATGTTTTCTTCATAATGAATATTAGCCCATTGTTTATATTAATCATTTTACAATACCAGTTTTTAAATCTTTATTTAT